AGGGCCATGCTGAGGGGAAGAGGCTGTGGGAGAGGGGCTGGGCCCCCCGGAAGCCTGCTGAGCGCCTGGCCCGGCAAGGCGTGCCGCGTGAGGGAGCGATGCAGGCTGGAAACGAGATTTCGCATCCCCCGTGTCAATTCCCGGCTCCATTTCCACCCCCGGCCTATTTTCACCCCTTGCCACTCAGGTCTCACTCCATCTCTTCACACCCTGGCCCTTCTGATCATGACATCAGCCCTCCCCTGCCTTCCTGGGAAAGGTGGGGGTGGAGGTGGGGGCCAGGCCCTCGCCGAGACCCGGCCCGACTTTCCCAGTGGACCCATGCCAGTCCCACCCGGCCACCCCACCCACCCCATCCGGGACACTCATTGCTCATGGCCTGGGGGGCGGGGGTTGGCAGGGTGTCCCGAATCCAGCACTTCCTTCCCAGCACTCCCCACCCCAGCTTGGCATTGCTTCACCCGCGGGGCACCAGGCCCCTTAGGGCTCCACCCTCTGGGCCCCTGCTCCTTGGGCCTCGAAACGGAAGGCTTCGGTCAACTGTCCCTTCCTCTTCAGCTCCCGTCTCCAGGACCAGTCCCCCTCTTTCCCACCCAGTCTCGGGGTGAGGGGTGGGAGCCCCTAGGCTGCTGTTGGGGAGGACATTCAGCCCAGGGTCTGTGAGCACCGGCTCCGGGCAGAAAGGGGGAACAGCAAGAGAGACGGGGGTGCACCTAGCAAAGAACTCGAAGACGGGAGGGTTGGTCCCTGCCCCTGCTTCCAGGATTCTTGGGGCCTGGGAAGCCGCCATTCAGGCTCTCCCGGCCCCTGGGCCTCCAGGCCATGGCCCCCAAGAACCTCCGAACGCTCTTGGGCCCGGGAGGGAGGGGGGAGGCTCCCACACCCTGCATTCCGCCTTCACCCATCGGCCCTGCACCCACCCCGCCTCATGCGCTCAGCCATCCCTTCACCACCGCTTCTTGGGATCCAGATGGTTTCCACCATGGCCCCACCCCCGCCCGCGTGGGGCCCGGGCCTGACCACCCCATCGCTGTCCTTGCCCAAAGCCACCATGTCCCTCCTGTCACGGTGTGTCCCCCCGCCTCCTCTCTGCCTCTCCTCTCGGCCGCCTCGCTCCTCCTCGTCCCCGTGCACCCTGCAGCCTTCACGCGTCTCCAACTAACCTTTCTCGGCCTCTCTCTCCTGCCTCCTTCCTCCCATCTGCTCCTCACAGGGCTGTCCCGGGGCAGCGAGGGCCCCTCCGCCTCCCCCCGCCTCTCTGCGCACTTTCTCTGTCCCGTCACCTCCGACAGCTTCAGTGGTGCTGACCATCTCTTCCCAGGCGGCCCCAGTAACCGACTCTCATACCTCCAGCCGTCAGCCTCCGTGCTCCTCCTCTCCCTCTGTTTCTAACTGACTTTACCTCTCCAGCCGTTTCAGCCTCCTCTTCCTCCCGTGCCTGCCTGCGTGAGCACGTGTCCATGTGTGCATCCACGCATGTGTGTGTGCGCGCGTGCACGTGAGCGCTGCTGTGGCCGCGCCTCTGGGAGGGGCGCCCTCATGTCCCCGGGTTGGGTGGGGTGTTACGCGTGGTCCAGGCGAGGCCACGCCTCCACGGCAGGTGCCTTGTGCAGCCGACTGCTCCCTGCCTCCTCCGCTGCAGTGCGTCCCAGCTCCCCAGCACACCGCGGCATGCTGGGTCTCCCCAAACGTGTTTCCTCTCGGGGTCACGGTGTGCGCCTCCCTGTGTGTGTGTCATCACGCTGCTCTGGTCGGCCTGCCTGTCGCCTGTGCCATTCCCTCCCTGGTCCCCTGGGTGTCTTCTGGGCTTGTGTGTGTGTGTGTGTGTGTACACGTACGTGTACGTGCACACCCTGCTCCTGGGCCCTGGTGCCCCTCCAGGACCTGCATATCCGTGCATGCCTCTGTGCCTGTCGTGGCCAACTGTGTGCTGGTGGCCGGGCCACACCCAGGGCCGTGGCGTGCCTGCCTGCGTGAGCACGTGTCCATGTGTGCATCCACGCATGTGTGTGTGCGCGCGTGCACGTGAGCGCTGCTGTGGCCGCGCCTCTGGGAGGGGCGCCCTCATGTCCCCGGGTTGGGTGGGGTGTTACGCGTGGTCCAGGCGAGGCCACGCCTCCACGGCAGGTGCCTTGTGCAGCCGACTGCTCCCTGCCTCCTCCGCTGCAGTGCGTCCCAGCTCCCCAGCACACCGTGGCATGCTGGGTCTCCCCAAACGTGTTTCCTCTCAGGGTCACGGTGTGCGCCTCCCTGTGTGTGTGTCATCTCGCTGCTCTGGTCGGCCTGCCTGTCGCCTGTGCCATTCCCTCCCTGGTCCCCTGGGTGTCTTCTGGGCTTACGTGTGTGTGTGTGTGTGTGTGTGTATATGTGTGTGTGTGTGTGTATGTGTACACGTGCACACCCTGCTCCTGGGCCCTGGTGCCCCTCCAGGACCTGCATATCCGTGCATGCCTCTGTGCCTGTCGTGGCCAACTGTGTGCTGGTGGCCGGGCCACACCCAGGGCCGTGGCTGATGTCTCCACGTCTGGCTCTGGTCTCACAGCTGTTCTACCGTAGCCTGTCCCGAGCCCCACGCTGCCGTCTCCCCATCTCCATGCTGCTGCCCCCCTCCTCCTCGTGGGAGGCTCCAGCTGGTCGCTGGGGGCCTGTAGCCCCCCCGTCCAGAGCCCCCACTGGCCTCCCCGCCAGCTGCCAGCGGGAGAGCCTGGCTCCCTGGAAACAGCACGGAGGCAGGGTGCAGACAGGGCCTCTCGTGGGACGCTCAGATCCGGGGCTTCTTGGGGGTACCCCGACTTCCTCTGACGCTGGGGGAGCTTTCCGGAAGGTGCACTTGCCCTGTCCACTAGGCGGCTCTGTACATCTCAGCGAGTTTCAGTCCCACGGGTTTCCAGTTCTCAGCGGCCACAGGGACAGTGCGGACACGGAACACGTGTCGGCATAGACAGTTCTGCTGGGCAGAGCTGCGAGGACAGGGGCCTGACCTCACCCGGTTGGTCTGGCGTCCAGAGGGCACCTGTGTTCTCGCTGAGCCTGGGCAAACACAGGTGGGGCGTCCGGGGGAGAGGCACCCTGGTGTTTGCAGAGGGTAATGATGCGGAGAGCGACAGAGCGCTCACCACCCGAGCCTCCGCCCCCAGGCTCCCGCCCAGGCTGGGGCAGCAGGGAGGTGGCCCTGGGGAGGGAGGCAGGCTCAGAGGCCACATGCAGGCAGGGATGGAGGGTAGGGGCTTTCTGGGGAACAGTACAGTCCA